GATCTGGCTGAGTTATAAGGATTTAAAAGTTGCATGCACTGGATTATGTTAAACTCTTATTAGCTTTATCTCCCAAACTTCAATTGATAGTGCGCATATGTAAAATGAGTGGAATACATGTCTCAGGATTTCATTGTATGTGCACGTGGGTGTGTAACAATGGAATAGAATTTCAGGTTTCAAAGACAGGATTGTGGAATATAATCTGTGAAGGTGTGCATGAATGGAGGTAGGGCTTTCAAGGAGTACCATATGGGAAGACGTATGACCCCTTCAGAGCCCTGCATTATTTCACCTCCAAGGAGCTCCTGTGTTCTCTTTTATGATATAAGTGAGGATGGAATGAGGCATGAACTCTCACCTCATCAATTGCATATACTGTGCAGTGAAGGGTATCTCTATTGCTGTCCAGAAAATATAGTAGCATTTTTGGAGTAATTTCATTGTTTAAAAAAAAACCACCAGAAATTCAATACAAAATATTATATTAAAAGAACATTATTATGCCAAGAGCACCCAGAAGTCAGGAAGTGACACATTAAAGTTTCTAGCCCAAATTTAGATATATCCCTTTGTATATGTGTATCCCTGTGTATGCACTAAGATACTGTGTTTTAAACATATGATTGCATAGCACTTTTCCCCCAGGACCACTGCCGCATTCTGTGCACACTTTAGACAACTGAATGAGAGGGGGTTGTGCAGTGAATTGGTCTGGGATCCAGAGCGTTCTGCCTTACTCCTTGTATACGCTGTTATAAATGAGGCTGATGTACAAAGCAATCTTATTTCATTCACTGTATAAACAGCATGCTGTGTCATAAATGCAGCAGTGGTCTACTGGAAGAAGCATTGTTGTTATGATAAAATCAGTGTAAAGAATCGGACAGGAATCAGTTATATTCTTGACTTTGCATAGACTTCCTGTGCAATCTTGAATAAGTCCCTCAGCCTCTTTGTAGCTCAGTTCTGCATCTGTTAAATGATGAAGATACTACTTAACTTCACAGGAATGTATGAGGATAAATTCATGAAGATTTGTGAGGTGCTTTAATACTACAATGATCAGACCCATAGAGAACCCTGGAGAGAAAGAGAAACTTTGTTCAGTGCATAGCTTGTATGGTGTGCACAAAGTGGGACATTGGGTCACACACTGAACAATAAAGTTAAAGAAAAGAAACTGCCTCATCACTGAGCAATGTGCATCTTGTACACTGAACGAAGTAAAGGTTTTGTGGATAAGTAGTTTATGATCATGTAATTATATCATACCCAAGGGGGCAAAGTTACAGTTTTGTAGGCTTTGTAGACTTATTACAACTGTAACATTTTTAATGTTTTGTATGGAATATACATAAACGTTGTCTCTAAATTATACTACCATTAAATAAAACAGTATCAGTGAAGTGCAAAATGCTAAAATAACATTAAGGTTTTGATTTAAAAACACAAAATTTGTGGTTTGCTGAAGTAGTGACGGTGTCCTGATATTTTCTTATGTCTCGCTATTACACATTGAGTTGCAATAATCAACCATGGGTCTGAGGAGCACGTGAGTTCTGATACATTGCCACAGCCAAGTAAATTAATGAGTCTATCCTGCAAACCCATACTCTTGTGAGTAGTCTCATTGAAATCTGTGGGAATATTTGTATTTAAGGTTTCTCAAATAAGGGTTTATAAAGTTGAGAAGTTTGCCTGAATTTCTTTGCCTTTGTGCCTCATGTCAGAATCATGACATTGCATTATATTTTGCCTCTGTCAAAAGTGGGAACTGATTATGATATAGATGGCAAGTGCTAAAATACTGTGGCGGGGATGAGGACTTGATTAATAGTCTTCACGTTGTCTGAATGAGAAGTTTGGTGGAATTTTTAAGACTTTCCAGTTAACATACATTTTAGCATGGAAGGGGTTTTAATGTACCTTCGCTAAAATTAGAAATAAAAGGGGTTCTTTTGGTTAAACTCTAGAGTTGAAGACACAATTTCTTGTGAATTTTCCCATAATTATCAATAGACAAAGTGATTGCGTGTGTAAGACTGTAAGAAAACCTGAGCAATTTAGCATGCTGAGTGTTAATAGCTCGAAGTCGGGGTACAGTGTAGAAAGGTAAAAATATCGCATCTGCTGTTACATGTTGTTAACTCCCTCAGCAGACATTAAATCATTTCAAGTACAATAATAGTGTGGGAGGTAAATTAACTAACCATTAACAATCTTATAAATACACAATTAACATGCCAACATTTATATGACACATTGATGGGGCAGCAGTAATTTTTGATTTGGAGTTTGCAGACCTTTTAGAAGCCTAAGGCTGCTGCTTGTTTAAACAAATTCTTACCATTTGCAGGTGAGCAGGGCCTTTTCCAGTACTAAGTGAGGTGTAAATAATTATATTTAAAGAACAATCTCAGTACACAACCTGGGAGACATTTCCGTTTTAAATATCCATCTACTGTACTTAGTTGTCTGTACTCCTGAGGTCAAAGCCTGCTGGTTATTACTTAAAGGCCTTCAGCTGGCAAATTACAGCAAAGGGACACGTGCCTTATGGTCTTTCATTTTTAGGAGACAGTGAGAAATCTTTACGGGACAGACAATTTATTTTTCTAATTAAAGTAATCTGTCTAGACGTGCATAATTGTAATTTAATAAAAGTTGCCAGAAAACAGCTAGACATTGTTAATGTAACTTATTAAAACTTGTTGTGGTAGAAGGTGAATTATTCTTTAAGAGGTATATTTTTAACAAATGGAATGCTGGATTTCTTCTCTCCCATTCTTTTGCTGAGGTCCTGCATGGTGGGAGTATTATTTAATAATTATGCAATGCTATGAATTTGCATGGCATTTTACCCCCCCCCCCGCCCGCCAAAAAAAAAGAGACAATCTCTCCATCAAAGAGCATAGACAAGAAATGACAACAGACAAGGTGGGAACGGGAGAGAGAGAGAACAATTAAAACGGTAAAGATTGGTAAAGATTATCTAACTTGTGTTGTTGGATTCTGACTTTTGAGGGTTTTTTATGGGGGAGAGATTAGTGATCAAATTCCCATAGTATGATGCTTGCAAGACACCTCTATAACTTTGACTTTCTTTCCACCATTAGTAACTGTATATGGCTGTCACTGTTGAAGTTAAGTACTACTTTTGCTTCTTTCTGTTTAATATAGGGTGACCAGATGCCCATTTTTAAAGGGACAGTCCCGTTTTTTGGGACTTTTTCTTATATAGACGCCTATTACCCCCTACCCCCGTCCTGTTTTTTCACAGTTGCTATCTGGTAACCCTAGTTTAATACAAATATTCATGATATCCTGATGCCAAATCTGTTGGTGCCTAGTGAGGGATCTCCGGGCTGCTAGTTTCTGAGGAATAAAGTATATTTAGTGTGAAATGGGATGTGGATTTGCCATTCCCATTGAGGTGAGCTTGCTGATGCTTCCCTGCATTCTGGGCTGTGACAGACTATAAGGCAAGGCTCAAATTGCAATCTTTTACTCTAGTTCTGTGGGAATGTACTTAGTTGGGTTTGACATCCTTTTTTTCTCAGTTCTTTCTGGGAAATTCCTTTTTCTTTCTTGAAGAAGTTCTTGCAGAATGCAATGATAATGAGAAGTTGTCATCTACCCGCAATATGCTTATTTAATCCCTAGAGTTCTATAGTTGTTTTGAATCATTTTTTTTTCTGGAAGTAGGAATGTTTCAGCCATGCATTTGTGAAAGGCAGTGCTGTCTAACAGATATAAACCACAAAAATTGAAAGTTTGAGGTCCTGGGTTCTGTTTCTTGCTCTGCCATGGTGGTAGCTATAGGCAAGAAACTATGCCTCCATTTTTGCTACATGTAAAATGCAGATAACACTTACCTCACAGAGTTTGGTAAATATTCGTTTATTTTGTTAAGCAGTGCTATGAAAGTGCAAATTGCTGTAATTAAATACTAAAGAGCTCAGACGCTTGTGGTATATGACCATAGTATTCTTCAGGTGTTACACTAAGGGTCCTCTAACAAACTCCACTGAGCAGCAGTGCGAGTTAAATGTTCTGTCCTGAGATGCAAACCTTTTCTTCTCTTTTTTTAAACGTTTCTCCTGGAAATGGAAAAACTGGAGTTCAGTTGGTAGGATGCATGTTTGGGATTAAAGAAAGTTCCCTCTTTAAAGCTATGCCTTAATTTTTAGGTCTAATTATTAGTTTCCTGCTGAAGAAGTCTTTGCTGAATGAAGAAATGGTGTTCAGTGTATCATTACTTTAGCATGCATTTTATGACTGATGCACCAACTTTTCAACAATAAGTCATGTAGGTGGTAGCAGTCGGCGTGAAGAGCTGAACTCAGAGGCTTGGAGGGAGCTGAGAGCACACAGAGAAGGGGTGAGAGGGAGGGGGTGCAATCATCCAGCTGGCCGGTAAATCGGAGAGATCATCTCAGGAGGTGTCTACTTTAAGGGGTGCAAAAATAAAGCATTGAAGAGGCAGTATGCAGAGGAGGGTAGGAGGAAGATAGCATCAGAGGAAGAGGAATGGAAATAGAGGATTGTTGTAGGGGGTGAGTGAAAGACAAATAAATACATAGTGGCTGATGTTATCAATTAGGTGAAAGTGGGGGGCTGAAAGTATTAAAGGAAGAGAAGGGAGAAGAGGGGAGATGTTGAATGTATAAAGGAAACTTCCTCCTGGGTGTAATAGGTAGGTGTATTGTACCTTATAGCAGTCATTTGTTTTGTGTTAATTACTAGTTTGGGGGTGCACATTTTATTTAATTAGGTTAACTTTTTGAATTCAAACGGTCCCCCAGGATAAATGGTTGCCACTTTTATAGATACTCACTATGTAAATGGTTGTACCATGTCAGGATGAAATTAAAGTAATTCAGTGCATAAAACTTAGTTAACTAATACTTAATTCCAGTTTTGGATGTGACAAAAACATCCCAGAGTAAACATTAATCACTGTTTTTCTTAAAGTGTTGTATATTTTATGTTTCCAGGTAAGTTTGTCCATGGAGCAGCATGGAGAGAAGAAGATAGCATAGTAAAGTGGTGGAGTTGTGGACAGGATGGCCTTCCTGGATAACCCAGCAATTATATTGGCTCATATTCGGCAGTCACATGTGACCAGTGATGACACAGGGATGTGTGAAATGGTCCTGATAGATCATGATGTTGACCTAGAGAAATTCAATCCTTCTTCAGTGACTGGAGACAGTGGTTCGGAAACACAGGGAAGCAATGGAGAGACTCAGGGTTATGTATATTCCCAATCAGTTGATATTACCTCAAGCTGGGACTTCGGTATTAGAAGACGATCAAATACAGGTAAATTCTATTTGCAAAAAAACCCACCCCAAAACAAAACAGAAAACCACCACCAACAACATACCCGTTAGAACCTCGTACAAAAGGCTAACTTGACTTGCTTGGACCAGTTGTCAGAACACAAGTAGCTACTTATTTGTCAAACCTTTCTTTTGTAACATTTAGCTAGGCAAATAGGTCTCTTTCAGAAAAAGAAATACATAATGGGCCAGTTTCTTTTGTGCACTGTAAACTGATTTTTAGTTGATTTTTTTACTCCAGTGTACCAAATCACAGTGTGTAGAAGAACTTTGAAGTTGTCAGTTTTATTACAAAAAAATAAAGATGTAGAAAATATTGTGGTAAAGAAACCATCAAAATACCAAAATTCCACTATCAGGCCTTGAAATTCTTATTATTTAAGTACACAAAGTCAGGTACTTTTTTTGTGAGGATACCTACTTTTTGAGTAGTACCTACTAGTGGAGCACCAGACCCAGTCATTCTGGCCCAAAGTATTAAAAACAATGAAACAACTGAGTATAAGAAGAAAGGGGTTAGTAGATGGACAAGAAAACCGGAGTAACAGAGTCCACTGAAGAGAGAACAGGACAGGGGAGGCATGAGAGAACGTGCAACAAAAAGAAGACATGCATAGTGTTGGAGGAGTGAGGGAGGGACGGAAATGGAAGGAAACAAAGTACAGAAGTATATGTGATACATTTATACTTCGTATTTTTCTTGTGGAAAACTTGAGTGAGGTGTTTGCAGAATGTTGATCGTAATTAATTTTGAGTCATAAAACTGCTCAGTGCATAGAACTAGGCTAACAGAGCAGGTGTCTTTAAAAACTGCATGCCACAGTAACATGTTACATTTTTCAAACCCTGTATGTTTACTGTTAGGAGTCTTAGGCCGGGATATTCACAGTGAATGCTGACAATGTGCGTCATGACAGGTCAGCTGCTCTATGGGCTTTTATCATGAAACTTCAGAACAACAGATGATTTTGTAGTGCCAACAGTGTAGTACCAAGGTCCAGTCACCATGTCCAAGTTGGCTTTTAATTCTGTAATAGAACTTTTGCTGGGCTCTTGCTATAAAAGTTTAACCATTTTTTCCCTGATGATGCTCTAACAGATCAGCAAATGGGAGGTTTAACGGGCAAGGAATATATACTATCAAACATATTGTCAGATTAATAGCCTGATATATCCTTTACCTGGAGGGGAATTAAATTCTTCATTTGAAGAAAGACAGACTCAGTGTTCCATCTTACTTTTTCACCTTTGACTTCTACTGTCTTATATCTACAGTATTACAAAAATCTGAGTTAGGATTTGAGCTCTCAAAATATGCTAATTTAAAGATAATTACCTTTTTGGTATATACTAATTGCTTAGTTTTTGTTAATAGGGAGAAAACATCCCTTTACTGTCCTTTTGCAGTAGGGGGATGTGGGAGTTGGTATACACAGCCTCCAAGGAAGGTTCTGTGCTGAAATGCTCAAGTGTTGAAGGCTTGAAGTAGGAAGTTCATCTCTCTTTCCTTGTAGGAACATACATTTCTGAAATAATTTTTTTGCAGGTAATACACCACCACCTACAGCTCAGAAGTAAATTTAACTAGATTCTACCTACCCAGAAAAGTGACGTACAGTAATAAGTATCTTAAGATACTTTTAAAAAGGTAATGTATTGTCAAAAGTTGTGAAAAATAATTAATAGCATTGATTCAGTATAATTAAGGCATCTCACTAAATTTGGAAATAAGGTCCATGAATACAGTTTGGAGTCCTAGGACTAGCTAAAACTGATTTCCATGTAGCAGGGTGAAAAGCTTAATGTGCCAGACTTCATGGCATTTTCTTTGAGAGGTTAGTTCAATTCAATTGTTGTTACAGGATAAGAAAGTGGAGAAGGAAAGTTCAAAGTGTTGTGGGAATGCTGCAAAAAGTGGTACTGACAGATAATTTCACAGAGTGGGTAGATAAAAAGAAGCTAAATTAAATTCTAATCTGAAACCATTTAACTTCCCAGTTAAAACCAGTGGCAGGTTTTAAAACAATTGTCCAGTCCAGTGGGGAGCCAAGCTGATGCCAGTTTTTTTTCTTTTCTCCTTCTCTTGAACCTCCCTCATCTTGTTCTCTGATGTACATTGGCACTGCCAGGCAGTTGATACAGTTATTAAGACCTACATAGCTCATGACCTAAAACAATGAATGATATAGAGAAAGTAAATTGGTCAGTTTTATTTACCCTTTCTCATAATACAAGAACAAGAGGCATCCAAAATTATTGAAAGCAACAATTTTAAAAATAATAAAACCTTTTTACACAAGACACACAGTAAATTAATTAGCCTAAAGTGCTCAGTGCCAGAAAATATCAAGTTCAAGAGCTTCACAGGAATCCAAAAAGGATCAGATGTTTGTGTAACATGCACAGTTTGGTTAGGTAGAATAAAAAAACTACAAGGGCATATAAATCTTCATGCATCAAGGCATAAATAAACTATTAACCTCCTGGAGTTAGAAACTTCCTTTTATGGGGAGGTTATTGCGTAAATGTAAAAATTTCTATTCTGTTAGGGCCACCAACTTCCCTGAGGCCACTTGTCTTCATTCTCATTGTAAACAATGGTATGCAGTGGCTATTTCGAAGGAGAGCATCTTAGCTCTGCATCTCTGACCTCAGTTCTATTAAGAGTAATCAGAGGTGTCAGCCATTTTGAAAGAGCAGTTTTTTGTGGACTTCTCCGTCATATAACATCATTCTTCAGCTCTGCTGAAGAAGAAACTTTCATTTATGAAGAAAAATGACAAAAATAACTTGTAGCCATTGCATGAGATTTCATTGAGATTTGCCTATGTGGAAAGTTGGAAGAGTCGGCATTACGTTATTCACTGTTAAGATAATTTGGGAGAAAACATGCTCTGGCACCAGATCTTAAAGCACTAAGTATCTTAAAGGACCGATATTCTAATTAATTGTAATTCTTAAACTAATTAACAGATTTACTTGTAAATTCTTAGAAAATGTATTCTGTACTTAGAGTAGGTCCTGTAAGAACAAATATATAGAACAAAGTGATTGAATCCCTTCTTTAAGTGTGAAACATAGTCTTAACTAAGGAACTTCAGCCATCTTATTGAGCCATAAGATTATTTTTGTTAGCTACACAAGTTCAGATCTGTTAGTTTGAATATTTGTTCTTTCTAATAAAGGACAATAGATTTTGTGTGTTCCTTGTAGCATAGTTGAGGCACTTTACATTGGAATAGAGTAGGTGATATAGTTGTTTATTCCAGCAGATAGTGGCAAATGTTTTTTGAGTATATGACCTCATGTTTCCTTTCTATGGTTTTAATACCCACTAAGAGACTTTTTTAAAAGAATTCCCACTTGAGTTGTCATTTACTTCTTTTGGTTTGGATAGAGTTGAATTCAATTTTTTTTTCCAAAAGCCGCTTAATTATATAGCCGTAGTAACTTATCCATGCACAGCTGATGTCTGACAAGCACTGGAACAAAATGTGTTTTACTGCTGCAGTGGAGAATCAACACGTTGTAGGTCCTACAGAAATAGCGGCTATTGAGCACTCATACATATCAGGTTACATTTTAAAGTAGGTTTAATTTAAGGCCTAAAACTTTGAAAAGTTGAAAAACCTTGAAAGTTATCTCAGGGTGCAAGGTTGTAAAATGAAGTAAGACGCCTTGTGCGGCCATGCTAGGGCTTGCCAGACCATGGGTCCAGGCATTGTGGGGAGCATAGGGGCTTGTCAGCCTAGTATTTCTCTCTTCCACAGCAGATAGGTAGGGAGAGCACAGATACTTGGTTTCCCATCTCTTCTCCCACCAAAAAAAATGTTTATTGCCAGTCCACAGAGATTATTAGCCAGAGCAAAGGGGTGGGGGGGGGGGGGGGGGTATGCTACACCTAGTAAAGGGCTGTAGCAAATTACTTCTCTCCCAAACTCAGGGCTAGCAGCAAAGGCTCATTTAGCCCTTAATATTTAATGGCAACAGAACTACATATGGTCAGTGAAATTTTTGACACTGAATGCTTGCAAACTAATACGTTTATGAGAATGAACCTTAAATAATTCAGACTTCTAATAGATACTGATAATTCCATGTAATTTGGAGTGGCTGTAGTACAATCATGCGATGAATGATAATTTGGAACCAACTGATAGAGGAATTGCATTGAGATGGAATAATTGCACATATCTCCATTTGTTCTTTTAAGATAAAATTAACCCTTGCTGACACAAAGCCAAATTACTAAGGCTTTGTGAGAGGAATCCCACAAGGATTCGGGAAGATGGAATTCATACACCGCAGTTCATGGGCACACTGCAGGTCTTAAGAGGATGGCGCAAACCCCTCTTTAATACATAGCCACCCTGCCCTCTCCCCACAGAGGGACATGTCAGGACTTAAAGTGATGCATTTGCCCTTAGAAGGGCCCCAGGCACTTGGACGAATAGTTTCCCTTATGTAAGAAATTGACCTGTTATTAATTACAGCAATATTAAAAGAAATGCTACGTTTCCTGGTTTCCCCATTTCTTCCCTTTCCCATTGGTTTCTGGGAAACCAGAAGATAATTTAAAAAACTGAAAAAGCTATTCCAAATATAGCTATATTTACCAGAGAGATTTTATATTTCTCTTTGGAGGAGAGGAGGTTTTGAGAGATTGATGCTTAATGCGGCCCAAATAAAAAATTGATTTAGAACTATAGGTAGAATAATAAATTAGAAGAAAATGGCTTCAGTTTTTAAAACTAAACTCTCACAATGGAAGAGCATCTTGCTTCATGTTTACAGTTACGAGCAGAGATGTTTCCTGTACTTTTTCACACTTTAGTCAGTTACTTTTTTAGATATTATAGGTAAAGTATCAACAACCTTTTTAATCAATGCTTTGGCTAAGAGTTCTGATACTTGATAAAATGTTTGACTGCTGAGCCAACATTTGCATCTTGAATGCAGCTCTAAGTATAAAGAAGGGATAGAATGTATATATCAGTGTATATTTTTTTATTGGTGAAAGCATACAGGAATTGTCAGAGTAACTTAATATTTTAAAATCTCCTTTAAGAGGCCATTTTAGTTAATAAATGATCACAATACATCAAAATTGTTAATATATCCAGCAAACTGTGTTTTCTCAAATGACCAAAATTTTTACTTCTACTTGCCCATCTAGTTTGCTTTCTTACTGGTAATGGTGAGTTTACTGCAGTGATTATTTCTGGTGGTTGGTTTCTCGAGGTAGCTTCTACCAGATTATTTAGTTGACAGTTTGTCTCCTGAGATAAATCTGGTGTTAACAATAAGTGAATTTCAGGAAAGAGGAGATCTGGGAGTCTGAGTTGCTTGATATTTTAACTGTTTGAGCCTTATTTTCAAGCCCTATTTTGGAGATGGAATCAAAATATGTAAAGAAATATTATATTCATTTTAAGGTTTGACTAATGTTGTGAAGATACAAATCATTTATTTTACTACCTATAAACTGTTTCAGCACACTGAAGAAAAAGCTATGCTAATTTATATAGCTTTGACATTTTATAATTTTCATGATTTTTAGATAAAGGATTTTATATTTAAAACTTTAATAGTCTAGTCTGAGTTCATTTATCTTTAATTTTTGAAACGGGTAGAGTAATTCATAACAGTAATTTTATTCCTGTAATGTAATATTCACTTGAGTTCATTTGTGCATTAAAATTCCTTTAAGACCGTTATTAATGATTTATATAATGAAATGTCATATTAATCACAGAAGTTTTCACATTTTATTATTCTCTTCCATGTTAATACTATCTTTATGATCTCTATTAATGTTTTATATCCTCTAATTTCAATTATAAATCAAGAACACTTTCATGTTTTTGTTGGTATTTGCTTTTCAGGGGTGCCACCTTTAAAATTTTATGACTTTCCCTCCTACATATGCGGTATAAAACATCTTTATTCATATAAAGGTAGTTAATTATGTCTTTGTTTATAGTAAACTTCCATTGACAAACTTATAGTAATAATATTTCTTTTCAAGCTCAGAGACTAGAACGACTACGAAAAGAGAGACAAAATCAAATAAAATGCAAAAACGTTCAGTGGAAAGAGAGAAATGCTTCTTGTTCAGGTAAAAAGAAACATCTATTTTCTTTATATTTTTAATTGTTGAGTTAACTTATTATTCATTTACAGAATTTTCAGTTTATAAACCTCACTTAAAAACTTCCAAAACACAGAGGAAATATTGTGAAGGATTCTGACCACCTCCTATTCGGACTTGTGTTTTCCCCATAGTTTTCAACCACCACATGCCCACTCCTATTGATTTACATTGATTAAAGAAAAATCAAGAAATTGATTCAAAGCTACTGTAGTTGATTGAAGTTTAAATAAATAAGGGTGTTTTAAGAAACATTTCAAAATAAATATTGTTAACACAGTGCTTGCAGATCTTGGCAGTTTGTAACATCACTGTTTATCTTGTGTCTACACATAAAATTTAGGTCAACCGATCTAATTTGCTAAGTGATGTGAAAAATTCACACCTATGAGAGATGTAGTTAAGCCAACCTAAACCCTGGTATAAACTCAGCTAAGTCGACAGAAGAATTCTTCCATCAACCTAGCTACTGCCTCTTGAGTGGATTTACTACAGAGATGTAAAATCCCCTTCCAGTGATATAGCAAGTGTCTACACTACAGCAGCATAGCTGCCGCATGACAGCTGTGCCGCTCTAGTACTTGTAGAGTAGACATACCCCGAGGCTCCTCTTAGCTTGATGAATAAACATTAAAGATGGTGAAATTGTGTTCTGCAATTTTTTGCATGGGAGGTGGTGTTTAACAAAACAAATAACTGACAAGCCTTGACCCTCTCCTTGCAACCGATCAAAGCTGATTAGAGTATCTACCTTCCAAATTTCAGTAGCAGCCGTGTTAGTCTGTATCCGCAAAGAGAACAGGAGTCCTTGTGGCACCTTAGAGACTAACACATTTATTAGAGCATAAGCTTTCGTGGGCTACAGCCCACTTCTTCGGATGCATTGGGTTGTAGCCCACGAAAGCTTATGCTCTAATAAATTTGTTAGTCTCTAAGGTGCCACAAGTACTCCTGTTCTTTTTACCTTGCAAATGGAAGACCACTATTTTCAAACAAGTGATAGGATGCATGACCTATTTCAAGTGGCCTTGGATGTTATGGATGAATGTATGTGGGGTGAAATATTTTTTTAAAGGTTATATTTACAAATTTTAAAAGTCGTCTCAGTCAGTTTTCTAGGTAAGGAGGAAAGCTTAAGGGGGAAAAAAGCTAAGAGAAGTATTATGAAAATATTACTTTTGTCTTCATGGGGTTTTAAGCTTTTGGGGCTTCTAAACTCACTCTTCCCTCACTTCTTCAAACCATTAATGTTATTGAAAGATGGCTCTTGCTTTTAATGTAGCTCTGCTTAAGCATATGAACTCAGGAAACTTTAGAATGAAATGAAGCCAGAAATGCCATTTGAGGTTTTTATCTTTTCTTGGAGCCAGTAGTTATAACTAATATTTTCCCTGTAAATACCTATTACTTCCTTTTGTAATTCATAATTTAGCATTTCTTATTGCTATAATGTGGTGCTTAAATGGTAACGTATGGAATTTAAAAAATTCCATGCCAATTATTTTATTTTCTAGCATAAACTGATGTTTGTTTCTGTTGTATTTGACACAGACCATACACGACTTTCAGAGTTTATCATGCTTGCTTCTTTCAAAATTTGTATATATCTTAATGTGATCTCTACATAATCTCTGTGCCTAGGTCCCTGTATTTTTCTGGCTGCCCTTTGTAGGACCTTCCCCAGTTCTATAATATCTTTTGCATAAGAGAGTGAACAGAGCTGCTCACAGGATTCCAAACGTGGTTGCACTAATCCCCTATACAGAGTTACAGCATATGTTTGATACCTCTGTTAATGCATCCTAAAATGTTTTTGCCTTTTTACTCTGTTAAGCATTATATTGAAGGTTTTAAAGTTTAATCTTCCATAACCTCCAACTCCTTCTGCTCAGTGTTTTGTAGCTTTTGACCACTGACGGTATAATCCTCTCTTCTTGTTTCTTGTCCCTAACCATATTGCTTGATGTTTCTGTGCATTGAAATGGACAATAGATTCCCAAGCTCTTGCTTTATTCTAGCTAGTTCTGTTGTCTCATTCCTGGACCACAGATCTAAGACACTGGAGGGGTCTCTGCTCCATGCAGCCTTGGAGGTGGACCAAACCTATCAATTATTAGCAGGGGAGGTGTGGCTCCTCCCCTAAGAAAGTTCTCCAGTTTTTTTGAGTCTTCAGATGCAGTCAGGGAGTCCCATTCTTCCCTGCTGCGGAGCAAAAAACAAAACAAAAAAACAAACATCTCCAAGCTTTGACTTTATCAGCACAGGGGTTTCCCTTTCTCTCCACAGTCTCCTTTAGAAGACGTTCTAAAAGGCACAAAATGAAATCTCTTTCCCTCAAGTGGCATAAATCTGCGGTGTGCAGCATGGAGGATAATCCTCAGTGCTGGGTTCCCCTGCTCACTTTCAGAGCACAGCATGAGAGATAAACACAGAAAAATCCAGGCCATAGACATATGCTGATTCCTCTGGGCCTGAACATCCACACAGGGAATTCTTCCTCATTAGGAGAAGAAGGCCAGAGTTAGAGACTCAATAGTCAAATATGTATTTAAAAAACAAAACAAAAACCCTCCCACAGAGGATAGTCTCTTTCAGGCAAGAGTGTACTGAGCATAGTAAACTACGAGTATGAAGTCTGCAGATGCCCTAGACATGCTATAGCTATATATCCCTTCTCATGCATCCTGGGAAGGTGTAGTGGTATGGTAAGGAATTCTAGCCACACCTATAAGATTGGGAAAGCATCAGGTTGTTGTCTCCACCTCCTGGTTTATTCCAAAGAGGAAATGTCCATACTTTTAGCTTCCAGAAAGAAATCTACTAACTCAGTCTGTCTATTTAGGGGCCTGCTTGAGGTTTACCTTTTGGTTCTAGGACAAAAGCCTCACTACTACATCTACCTCAGTACCATGGATTCTTGAATTTCTTCAAGATTGACTCGGACTGGGCCTGACATTTCAGACAGTCAGAGGTCAAGTTGCTGCTTTGTCTAGCATCCTTAGTGAAGCAGGGAAGTAGTGAATTTCTTCCTACCCAAATGTCCAACATTTTTTGAGAACAGCATTTCTTCTACATCCTCCTGAAGCACACAGAGTTCTTTCTTGGGATCTTAACCTGGTTCCCAGGGCCATTACAGACCCTCCATTTGAACCACTCCTGAAGGTGTCTCATTTTCTAACCATTACAGTAGTCTTGTTGATAGCAGTCAATTCAGCCCTCAGGGTGAGAATTGGGAGTTTTTTCCCAGTAACCTTAGTACTGCACCTTTCATAAAGATAAAGTGGTACTCAGAATCAACTCTGCCTTCATACCAGGCTCTGTTGAGCACAGAAAATTGTCCTTCCATCCTCCTGGCCAGCTCCTTGCATCCCAAAGAGAAACTGGCATATTTTGGATGTCCACAGAGCTCTCAAAGTATATATTCATCACACAGCTCAGTTCAGAAAGACAAATACTGTGTTTGTGTTTCATCATCTGGTGTCAAAGGGAAAGTAGGCTTCAAAATCTTCAGTTTCCAGATGGCTAAAATTTTGTACAGTGGAGTCGCATCATAGGCGCATTTAACTTACACAATTCTAACTATACGTGCTCAGCAAAACAAAACAAAAAAGAGAAAAATAGCAATTTAAATACTGTACCTGTAGTGTGGGCGATTCTGCCCACCATTCCACTCAATGAGCGTTTGACTATACGCGATTTTCGCCTTACGCGCTGACTTCAGAACCTAACCCCTGCGTAAGATGCGACTCCCCTGTATCTAAACTGTATTCTTAAATGTATTCACCCAAATTTGGGTTATTGCTGATTATGCACTATATGTATCTTACGACTTTAAAAACAAACTTTGTATTTGTGGATAATCTAAGCACTATACCCAGATGTACAGACACTCTTTTCTTAACCTTAGCTTTAATAACATTTTTATATCCCATTGGTTCAACTGAGAAAGCCCCTGAGCGCAGCAAGTTGCAGCGCTGTACACCGCCAGTGTAGCCAAGGCCTAAGAAACAACACAAGCAAGTAAAACACCTGCTTTCTCAGTTGAACCAATGAAATCATTACACAGAACTCCAGGAAACAAAGTGTTTTCCAAAGGCACAAGAAATTACAGCTCACAGCACTACTCTAACATAGAGGCAAATAAGAATTTTTAAAAACTAAAACAAGCCTGTTGTACAAACAGAATACGTTATGGGGTTTAAGTTCCCATAATTAAAGACAAAATTTAATCATGCTCTTCTGGATTAATTTATATCTTGCTCTAACCTATTGGGTATCTTTTAGTATATACCACCCTTGTCAACTGTTTGAACTTTCAGGTAATCTGATGGATAAAAATAAAACTGAGTTTGTGACTAGTTACAGTTTGACAGGTTTTAACTTCACAATTCAAAAAATGAACTGCCTCCCTGAAGCATTGACTTCTGAGTCCTGTTTAGTCTGCCTCAGTAACATTGTGTTCTCTGTATGGGCAGCATGTAAATCTTTGGGACTATCCAAATGTATGAATAAAGAACAGAGTGTAGACAGTTTAGGTGGATTGATGCTGATTCTCAGATAGTGATTGATTGAGTTTGTGGTGGTTTGCTCCAAGAGCAGATGTGGAGCAAACTTGTCCAGTTTCAGTCACTTGTACTAGAGAATGAGACCCATTGATTCTAGTAAGCTAAACGCTACAGGCTCTGAGCTATATTCATCCATCCTGATTCTGTAGAGTCCTTGTAACATTAGGACCCTCCCTTTATTAAAAAAAAAATCAATTTCCATAAATTTGGGTTTAAACTCTCGCTGACAATCCTGCTACTATACCAAACAGCATTATAACAGGCTTCTTATGCCCCACTAACTTGCACATTAACTTCATTATTGCCCTTATTATCACAATACTGTACTTCCTTGTGACCCAGGATGCTTGTTGCTCAAGCATGGTGTTATCAGGCCTTATTTTTCCAGATGAGATCCACGCAAGGCAGCTTACTTGAAGAGGGGAAGTACATGGAACATAGGAATTGCCACACTGGATTAGATTCATGGTCCTTCTAGTCCAGTATCTTGTCACCAATAGTGCCAGTCCTAGATGCTTCAGAGGAGGTGCAAGGAACCCTGTAGTTAACCTTGATGGGATAACTTGCCCCAAGAGTGTTTCCTTTTAACCCCTAATAGTTAGATGTGGGATTAAGCCCAGAAGCAAAAAATTAATATCTCTTCCAAAACTCTTGTTTATTTTTTAATATTTACTATTATAACTCTGAATAAATCTAAGTCTCTAGCCATTACCATCAAGCAGCCTCCTGCTCCAGATTACAGCCAGCTCGATATTAACCTATCTGGACTACAAAGGGGGCAACTTTCAAATATTTGGGCAGCATCCTAGACAGTGCTAGAGGATGCTCAAAAGATGTGGACACACTTGTATATATTGCCATGTTTCAGGCCCTTCAGCAGCTTCTGTTGAAATGTGACAGGTTCGGTCACAGAGACACCCTTGGCACTGTCACTTGATGTGCCAAGATTACCTTTGAGCCCGTTTTCCCTGCCATTTTGGGACCTCCAGAACCCTGCCTTGTTGAGCCAGACACGCTAGTCTGCTGCAACACAGACCCAGGGTCCGGGCCACATCCCCAAAGCTGCAGACTTTAAGTGAAAACAGCTCTGCAGGTTACCTGACTCCAGCACCCAGACACCCAGCTCCCAATGGGATCCAAACCCCAAATAAATCCGTTTTACTCTGTATAAAGTTTATACAGCATAAACTCATAAATTGTCCACCCTCTATAACACTGATAGATATGCACAGCTGTTTGCTCCCCCAGATATTAATCACTTACTTTGGGTTCATTAATAAACAAAAGTGATTTTATTAAGTATAAAAAGTAGGATTTAAGTGATTTCAAGTAATAACAGACAAAACAAAGTAAGACATCAAGCAAAATAAAGCAAAAACACGTAAGCCTAATACATTAAGAAACTGATTACAGATAATATCTCACCCCCACAGGTGTTCCAATAAGCTTCTTTCACAGACTAGACTCCTTCCTAGTCTGGGCCCAATCCTTTCCCCTGGTACAGTCCTTGTTAGTTCCAGCAGCCATCTTAGGTGTTAAGCAGGGGCTTTCTCATGGCTGGCCCCCTTTGTCCTGTTCCACCCGCTCTTATAGCTTTGGCACAAGGCAGGAATCTTTTGTCTCTCTGAGTCCCCACGCCTCCTTCTAAATGGAAAAGTACCAGATTTAAGATGGATTTCAGCATCAGGTGACATGGTCATATGTCCCTGTGAGACCTCATTCTTCATTGCCCACGAGCTGGCCCACATGTTCACAGGAAGGTAAACAAACCCATTCACAACCAATTGCCCTAGTCAATGGGAGCCATCAAGATTCTAAGCCACCATTAATGGCCCACACTTTGCATAATTACAATAGGACCTCAGAGTTATTCTTCATATTTCTAGCTTCAGATACAAGAATGATACATTCATACAAATAGGAGGAATATATTCAGTAGGTTATAACCTTTGTTATGATACCCTACAAGAGACCTTTTGCAAAAACCATATTCCAGTTACATTATATTCACATTCATAAGCATGTTTTCATAAAACATATGGAGTGCAACGTCACAGAAACGTCATGACATTAAGCTTGCTATAAAGCTGCGAATCTATAGAACTTCAGTTATATCAGCTTCATTGTATGGAAGTGAAACATAGGTGCTGTGGAAGACTGAAGTACATTGGATCGACATTTTTGATTCTCATCATCTTGGTCAGCTGCTCCGTATCAAGAGCAGGACAAGATCTGAAACAGGGCTTTGGAGCTGTGCTCCGGCTCTGCTCCATCTCCAGGCAAAAACCTGCAGCTCCACTGCTCCAGAGCTGTTCCGGGCTCCACTCCAAAGCCCTGATCTGAAATGAGGATCTCTGAAGCTGAAGCCAGCAACTACCCTCCATGAGCACTGGTATGAATGTATTATTAGAATAGAAGACCAACGAATTCCGAAGCGTGTGGACCTAAGAATGCCGCTACATGGCTGTGACCTTAAGCACCTGGCCAGAGAGAGATTCGAGTGTTGCTCAATCTGCAAGGAGGACACATCCTTTTGGGATTTGTCATGGTAGTGATGATTATAACTCTGGGTATTCTTGATATCCATATTATTCTTAATTGTATTACAGTAGTGCTTAAAGATCCTAATCAAGATCAGCACTCCGTTGCACTAGGCACAGTACAAACCTATAGTGAGAGTTGGTTCCTGTTGCATAGAGTTTACAGTCTATATAGAAAAGATGGATGAGGGATGGGAGGAGAAAAAGAAATGTCTAATCCCTTTTTAATCCCAATAAGGTCTTGTAGCAATGACATCTACAGGTTAATTGTACAAAGAAGCTTTCAGCTTTGAATTTGGCACTTTTCAGTTTCATTGTGTCCCCTTGTTCTTTTGTTATGAGACAGGGTGAATAGAAACTCCCAGTCTATCTTCTTTAGACTGTTCGTTGTTTTATATAATTTTTATTGTATCCCCTCCGATTCATTTCTTCTCCAAGGTAAACAGTATCCTTTTTGCACATGGTAATGCAAATGCTTTTTTTTTTTTGAATCGCAGCAGAGGAGCTAAGCTCGCTGTTCGAAAAAAAGAATTTCAGAGTAAAGTCTCCACATTCTGGGAAGCAGTCGTTACTGTCTGTGCGACTTGAACAGTGTCCACTGCAGTTGAACAACCCTTTCAATGAGTACTCAAAATTTGATGGCAAGGTAAGTGAACCAAACATTTTCCTCTTACATAGAGCTGGCTTCTGATCGAAGGTTAGGTTGCTCTGTCTGCTCTGATGACAATGCAATGTGTAGATATTTGTTTGGGCTTTAATTAAACATCACAATTGCCCTACAGTTCATTATTTTAAACTGGCTATCCTAAAAGTTGTTTCTCTTTGTCTTTCTCTTTAATTGTAATGGTTCCCAGAGGCAATAGCAATAGGAGCCAAATGAAAATATATAATAAATGGTATGTATGCTCTGCCCTAGTACTAGAAGGTTATATCATGGACTTGTGTCCGTCCTTCAGCACATGGTGCTTTAAGTAAAATGTTTAGTACAACTGAGTCTTAGGCATCTTATCCCTACTCGACTATTGGTGTGTCCATGGATATCAATAGTCTGTTGCATTGCACAGAGTTTCTCTCTAGTAAATCTAGCCCTACCCCCATAGTATCTGGGCAGCTCACAATTTTTGGTGTGTTTATCCTCACAGCACCCCTGTGAAGTAGTAAGTGCTATCACCCCCAATTTAGAGATAGGAAACTGAGGCACAAAGACAAAGTGACTTGCTGAAAGTCCCACCGAAGTCCTGTGGCAGAACAGAAAATAGCACCCTGGTCTCCCCAAGTCCCAGGCTAGTGCCCTTCTCTCTGTGCTGCCAGCTGCACGAGGGTCTCTGGCAGCTGGCAGAGCAGCTCGAAGTGGGTCTGTGTGATGCTCTCTTTCCCTTCTCTCCCACCCTCATGAAGGTCTGTATTGGCTGGGATGGGGGTAGCATCAGCATCTGTTGACAGTACTTTCTTTCCCCCCTGGAAGTTTCCCACTTCCCAGAGTCTGCAGTGGCAAATAGGGCAGGAGGACCTGGGGTTGAAGGGAGAGTGCTGGTAGAAATCTCACTGGAACAGATGTTCTCGTGGTACTTCTCTGACTTGAGTTTAGCCAGTGGGATCTGAGTTTAAAATAGGGCCCAAATGGCTGGCAGGGATTGAAAAATCTTCCAGAACCATCAACTTCAGCTTTGGCAGGATCTGTACGTTGTGTCTGTTGCCTCTAATCCCAAGTAGTCAGAGGGGCTGAAGAGCACTGGGTCTAGCTGTAGCCATTTCTGAGAGAGCTGCTGTTGAAGCCTGGTTGGAACTGCATTTGGGTGTGAGTGGAAAGTAAGTTGATCAATATTATGCAATTTTAAGGTTTATATCTTTCAATCCCCTGGAGCTCGTACAACACTTTATTCATCAGGCAAGGACATCTATCTTTCCAATGTTGTGGAGCAGCAGTTTCTATCCCTGTAGTACCTTCAAAAATGTTCATTGATTCATTGGTAATGTACAGACCATTTGCCAGACAGAAACATAGGAGATGCCATAATGGATCATACCAGAGGTCCATCTAATCCTGTCTAGAGTCTTTATGACTAGTTGCTTTGCTTTTCAGAGTATCTGCACACCCACACATCCCAAAACCCTATTGAAGTTGTGTCACAATGCTAGTCTTTTCTGATTCTTTCCCCAAGAATGACAACCTTAAGTATTAGTGACCACAATATAAATATTTATTTAGATTTTGACTGAAAGCACTTCACCCTCAAAGGGCATCCATCCAAGGCTCTCGGTGCCCTTTGACGTACATTTAAAAACAGTACCATAAGGAATGCAAAATATAAATCACCCAACACAACAGCACTTCCTTTTACACAGTAACCCTCAACTAATCAACAGTCAGCAAACCAATGTATCTTAAAAATCCCATTCCCCACAAGACAGAAATCTTATCCCCAACCACCTTACTCCCGCCACAGTGCCAGCTCAAATAGTCAGGCTTTGCAGCATGCCTGGAAGGTCAGCGTAGTTATTCAAATACAATTACATTGTGAACTACCATGTGTTACCTAGAACTAAATCAAGAATTGCCTCCTGTGTGCAAGGCTACACTCCAGCTTTTATCACTTCCGTGTCTATTATAAACCCTGGAAAGCTGAAAAAATATAAACATTAGGATCATAGGGCGGTGTCATAGTGTGCTGAAAAAATTACAGGTGGCAGTGTAGCTCTATTTTCTGCTGGATTAGTTTGTGGGGACTTCAGTGGGAGTGTCAAGTATGAGCTTCACTACTGTTTTGGTGGGAAATCTTCGCTATCTGTCAAGTGTTTTTAACAGAGAAAATCAGACATGTAATTTGATTAAACATATGTAGAGAGGTAGTATTATAAAAGTCTTTGTGGAGTTGTAGCTCTTAGACCATAGTATCTGTAGAGCATAAACTGCCTGTTTATATGTTATGTTGCATTTATTAGTATTGCATTAATTAGTGCAAACTCTGCGTTTGAGAGAATTATTTCTGGCATAATTACTTGGTGCCTTGCTGCCAACAGTAGCAGGATGGCCTTCTTTTTCTGCAGTTCATATTTTGGTGTTCCTGAGTCACTGGATTCTGATTTGCCAAAGGGTTATGAACTTTTTATGATATACTTCCTATAGCTATTGTGTACAGAGGAGATGGGGAAAAAAAACCTCTGGACTAGAGGAAATTATCCTCATTCACAAAGGTTGAAATTTTGTAACCTGTAAAAGCTTGAGCAAGACTTGAGCTAAATATGGGGGGCTGGGGTGTCTTGGGAAGTTGGGGAATGGAAAAATTACTCCTCCTCAACTTCCTAACCCCCACTACTTTTTTTTCTGATTTAGTATGTATTACAGCTGACTAGAATTAAAATCTTATTTTCATCTATTTAACATTGATGCATTTGGCAGATGTGTAATGAAAATCAGTAACATTTGAAGGAAATTGTACTGTACATATTAGTCATTTTTATAATCATTTTGAAATGTATCAATATGATATGCACTGACACCTTGGTGATTAATAGAGAATTATATTTCAGTTGAGCCTTTTTTTACCCTAGAAATTAAAATGCCTATTCAAATAACGCTGCAAAATAATCAAATTAGCATTTTGTGAATGCATAATTGGATTATATTAGTTATAGCAGCATTGTTTGTTTGTACCACTGTGTGTAAGTTTGTGTCAGCATTTTGATTATAAAACCCTTTCTTCCAGGCTTCGTATGTATTACCTATTTTAAAAAACACAATAACATCAACCCTACATCCCAGTTGAGCCGTAGTACAGCTATTATAGTTCAGTAGTGAATTACTTTACCTAGTTAGCTTTTCTTCAGTTTTGCTGTACTTTTTAAATAGTAATTTGAAATTATAAACATGTAGCTTTTTTATTATTCTATGGCAAATATGAGTATTTTTAATGAAATTTTGTAGGTAGGACCAATACTCTTTGGTATTGAAATATTTTTTTAAGTGATAAGAGATGAGCAGTATTTTTTTCACAAATATTTATTACTCTTTTCCTGGGAATAGTGCACATCTTATTTACATAATTAACTGAGCTACTCATGTCTCTTGGGAAAATGATACATAATTGGGGAGAGAAGGGTGGATAAGGAGGGACTTGGGGCCTAATTAAACATGTTTTAAAAAACCCCACTTAATTATGTATTTACTCAAGAGACACGAGTGTCTCTAAAATCCTCTTTAAGATTATTACTAAGGCTTTGATTTAAAAATTTTAAAAATTATTGTCATGTAGATTTTCTGTTTGTTGAATAACATACTTTTTGTGGATCACTGGCAAACAAAAAGAAAAGCAAATCAGCCACTCTATCCAAGCTGAGAGAGAAAGAGTGTGTGTGTGTGTGTGTGTGTGTGTGTGTGTGAACTCATGTTAACTCTGAATATTTTAATTCTAATCATGAATATGCCTTCATAAATAAATTTAAATGAAATAAAATCCTCTTTAGTGAGTTTTTGTTTAATGAATGTATTATTTTAAGAAAATCAGTTAAAAATAGGAAAGCATTAAATTCTATAATATTAAACATGCCACTCTGTTAAATCTCTCAATTTTCCAGGTGTGTTCTGTCAGACTTAGTGTCTGTTTCATAATCACTTCTGTATGTTTATGAAATAATAACATTTTAAAGCACTCTAATGTCTTCCTGTTGTTTTGATCCGTCTATTGAATTATCAAAAATAAATTAGAAAATACAGCTTCTAAAATACACCCACAATGGAAGCATTATGATCAGCTCACACAAGAGTTCTGGGAACCCTTGTCACACAGCCAAATTGAATAACTGGTAGTTTCACATACACTAAAATACAGTACTCCCTTTTTAAAATAAATAAATAAAAGGCAGGGCAAACTATATGTTTACTTTACCCAGCCAAATGGGGTAGCAGACATTGTCTAAACCTTTCAGTTTTCTCTTAAAATCCATTTCTCTTGACAAACTTGTAGCCCCAACAGCCAGCAGATAGCTGCAACTATGTGTCAGTCATTCACATACACTGTCTTTGTTTAATATGTAATGGTAAACTGGGCTGATGCGAATCTGGTGACGCTAGAGACCTTTGACCCCTTGTACTCTATCCAGTTGTAATTTGTATATAAGAAATTATATTAAGGTACCAGAAATTGGCAGCCAAATTGATTTTACTGCAAGTCTAATAATTAATTTACACACTCTAATGACAGATGACACACTCAAGAAGTGTTAGATTTATTCTCTGCCATCAGGTTTTTTAAAGATCGTTTTTTGTGGTTTGTTGATCCTTTCACTTTCTGGATGTTAACAGGGAGAAAACAAGGCTTACTTTAAAATAGTTTTCCAACCCATGGCATAGACAGCAGCATAAGGGAGGATTGGTGGCCTTATGGTTAAGGCATGTGACTGGGAGTTAGGAAATCAAGATCTGTTCCCAGTTCCTGCCACAAGTTTTGCATGCTCTTGGACACATGATTTAGACTGCAATCCTGAAATGTGCTCCTCATGGGTAAACTCCCATTGCAGGATTGGGGATTTAATCTCCCTGTGCCTCAGTTTCTTCATCTATAAAATGGAGCTAATATTGCTTGCCTATCTTTATTAATATTTATAAAGTACTTAAGATCTTCTGATAAAAAGATGTATAGACACAGG